TGCTCTGTCCCCCAGGCTGGAGTGCAATGTCACCATCTCGGCTTACTACAACCTCCACCTCCTGGGTTCAAGCGATTCTCCTGCCTCAGCCTCCCAAGTAACTGGGACTACAGGCACCAGCTACCACGTCTGGCTAATTATTTTTGTATTTTTAGTAGAGACAGGGTTTTACCATGTTAGCCAGGATGGTCTTGATCTCCTGACCTCGTGATCCGCCCCCTTCCCAAAGTGCTGAGATTACAGGTGTGAGCCACCATGCCCGGCCCATTTTATATATTCTTTAAAAAACAAAAAACAAAACAAAACAAAAAAACACAGAGAGCTTGGCCAGGCGCGGTAGCTCACGCCTGTAATCCTAGCATCTTGGGAGGCAGAGGCAGGCGGATCACTTGAGCTCAGGATTTCAAGACCAACCTGGCCAATATAGTGAAACCCTGTCTCTACTAAAAATACAAAAGATTAGCTTGGTATGGTGGCTCCTGCCTGTAGTCCCAGCTACTCCGGAGGCTGAGGCAAGAGAATCACTTGAGCCAGAAAGGTGGAGGTTGCAGTGAGCCGAGATCATGCCAATGCACTCCAGCCTGGGTGACAGAGCAAGACTCCGCCTCACAGAAAAAAAGAGTGCTAAATATCGATAAGTTCCCACTCTCCACACACTCTCCACTCTCTCCTGTTCCAACTTCTGGCAACTAGCAACAATAACAGTGTTTTATTTTAACAGCTTTATTGAGGTACAGTTAGCATATAATAAAATGTATGCAACTTCTGCCTTCAGGGCTCAAGCCACCCTCCCACTTCAGCCTCCCAAGTAGCTGAAACTACAGGCACACACATCACCGTGCCCGGTTAATTTTTGTATTTTTTGTAGAAATGGGGGTTCATCATATTGCCCAGGCTGGTCTTGGACTCTGAGCTAAAGCAATCTGCCTGCCTCAGCCTCCCAGAGTGCTAAGATTACAGGATTGAGCCACCATGCCTGGCCTAAAATATACATTTGTTTTTGTTTTTGTTTTTGAGATAAGAGTCTGGCTCTGTGGCCCAGGCTGGAGTGCAATGACCCCACGTCAGCTCACTGCAACTTTGGGAGCTGCATGGTCCCGAATGCTCAAGCAATTCTCCTGCCTCAGCCTCCCGAGTAGCGGAGACTACAGGCACTCACCATCATGCCCGACTAAGTTTTGTATTTTAGTAGAGACAGGGTTTCACCATGTTGAAGGTGAAGGTTTTACCATGTTGGCCAGGCTGGTCTTGAACTCCTGACCTCAGGTGATCTGCCCACCTCCGAGTGGCAAAGTGCTAGGATTACAGAGGTGAGCCACCTCGCCCAGCCAAAATGTACATTTTAAAAGCATGCAAGTATTGAGCCCGGCGCGGTGGCTCACAGATGTAATCCTAGCACTTTGGGAGACCGAGGCGGGCGGATCACGAGGTCGGGAGATCGAGACCATCTTGGATAACACAGTGAAACCCCGTCTCTACTAAAAAATACAAAAAAAATAGCCAGGCATGGTGGTGGGCGCCTGTAGTCCCAGAGGCTGAGGTAGGAGAATGGTGTGAACCCGGGAGGCGGAGCTTGCAGTGAGCCAAGATTGTGCCACTGCACTCCAGCCTGGGCAAAAGGGCGAGACTCCGTCTCAAAAAA